AAAAAAAAAAAAAAAAAAAAAAAAAAAAAAAAAAAGAAAAGTAAGTTAGTTTGCAACTGCGCTACCCACCAACACAACCTTTATCCCCACACACACAAAACCTTCCCATCGTTCCAATGCAGCCCTCTCAAACCCATTATGAAAAATAACAAAATCAAATTTCCAGCTCCCAAAAAAGGAGCAGTCCTAGAAATTAGTTCAAAATTCAAGTTACTAGTAATATACTGCAAATTTACAAAAAGCAAAAAAAAAAAAAAAAATAGACCATCAACTTCCTCAAATTCGAAATGTCAGACAAAAATTGTGAGGAAATGTTTTTTAAAAAGCAACGTTTCATGTCGGGCCGTCAATATTTAGTATTTAGTAACCTAGGCTACCAGCCGGGCCGCCCGGGTCCCGGGTGGCCAGCCCGTGCAAGGACTCCCAGCAAGAAAAAAAAAACAAAAAAAATCCAAAAAATCCGAAAAAAAACTATGTTATGCATAAAAATAAACTGAACAACTTTTGCCTCAAGGTCACATCGAAATTCTTTACCAATTTTTAAATAAAAATAAAAGTTTAAAAATAATATTTTTATTTTTATTATTTTTTATTTTTTTGGCCCGGCCGGGCAAGTGACCCCGGGCCACTCTGGTAGCCTAGGTATTTACCAATCAAGGGAATAATCAAGACCATCATTTTTCGCAAAAATTGTGAAAAAAAGCAATGTTTCATGTGGCTCCACTACTCTCCAAATGTGCAAAATGAGACTCAGTACTCCGCTAGAGCCTGGCATATGACAGACTCAGTCCCTTCAGCAGTTGGTCATTCAATCATCCACATGATTTTCTATAGAGGCCCCTCTATGAGACTCCCTCCCACCGATCTTTTCTTTATTGCGGCCTCAGAAGGAGATATACCTATGGACCCAATGTCCAGAAGGTGCACATAAAAAATAAAAATAAAAAAAAAAATAAAAAAAAATCTTTTTTTTTTTTTTTCAACCACCTGTACCTACCGGTTGTGCGGCCGCAGGGTCCTCACCGCGACTTTCCGAGGCCCGTCCCGCGACGTTGGCCGCAGATGAAAAAATCTGAACGTCCGCTAAGCCCCCAAAGGCCGCGGCACGTTAACGTGAACGCCCCGCGGACGCACACTGGTAGAGGTACTGGGTGTTTAATGTTCCCCTCCGGCTTTGCCATTCGCCGGGGCAAAGGAGAGAGAACATTCATTGAATGATCTTAGATTGTACACAGAGCAATCGGCATAGGGGTGATGCGTTGTGTGGAATGCGATGGGTTGGTCTATAGGTGTAGAAATACTAGAAAACCTTCTTTTTTTTTTTCTTTTCTTTTCTTTTTTTTTTTCTTTTTTTTTTTGTATGTGTGTGTGTGTGTGTGTGAATACATATGCAATTGAAGTAGTCAGCGAGCTCTTTTTTGAAGCTTCCACCGAGCACTTATATGTCTTCCATTGTGCTCTTTGTGCAGTAGTGTAGAGAGTAGTGTTGCCTTAGTACCTATGAGTTGGAAGTTAATACTCATGGTTTTCCAGTTTACACTGTTGTGCTTTTTTTGTGCATCTTCCTACACTGAGCCCAGGGATGGGTCTGGCTGAAAGAAAGTGCCTTGCTGTAGCGGTCTCGTGAGACCGAATCATCAAATAAGAGCCCTGGGGGGTTTTAGATGTCTCCATGGCACAAATCGGCTTCTGTCATGATGTCACAAATATTCAAAGTGAAAACACTGAGAAAGTTCACAGTGAAGCGTTTTAAGCGAAAAATCAAAAGGGGAATGTAAAGAGTGAAAAAAAAAGAGCTCCCCCCCCCCGCCCCCCCCCCCCCCCAAAAAAAAAAAAAAAAAAAAAA